TAACGGTGAAACCGAAGTAATAATTTCAGAATAAAGAGAAAAAAAATGAGTCATGGATCATTTAGAAAGTTTTCACGTGACGCTTGACTTCGTTCTACCTTCCCTCCCACTCGACCACGAACGATGATACGTTACTTTGTCCTTATTGTTACCGATTACGTAATTCCACGAAACGGTCACCCGTGTGATCTTGATTAATACAAACGAATTACAGAAAAAAACAGGAATATAAAGGAAGAAAATCTTCTTTACCGTGCAGTCGTTGAGTGGAAGGAGTTAACGAGGACGCAAGGTTCATTCATATACGCACGCACACTTTTGAAAAATCCCGATGACGTTGATTACCGGCACACGCCGGACCAGTGAAATCTGTTGCAATTACCGTTTCGCCCACTATACGTGAACGATTGGCAACGTTTCGTTGCAACAGCCCCTGCGCAGGAAAGTGTTGGCGGCTCCGTAATTTTTAATAACGCCGATGCGTTTAACTATCGTTCGATCGCGTTCGAGCGCACACGCTCGCGGAGATGCTATCGTTTAGAGGTTTCTTTTTATTTTTCCCTCTTTTCCCAGACATCCTGCGCGAGGATAATTATTGAGAGTTAGGAAACGGACTCGGTCTGATTCGCGAGCGAGCGAGCGAGCTCGTTTTGCATTACGGTAATTACCCTTCCCAATTAAAGCACACCGAGGCTGTATCGTTCAACTCGCGAAGTGTATTTTATTTTTTTGTTGCCACAGGTTCTGCACGTTACGTCGCGACCGAATGACATCAAAGTCAGACGGCTGCACACACTACCTCTGGTTTTTGCAATCTGATCGACAGTTTTCACGAAAACTGTCCTAAAGGATTACGGTGGACTCGATCCCTGGCACGGGGGGGGGGGTTCATGTTTTTTGCAATTGTTTTACGCGCAAACGAGGACAAATACTAATGAGCTTATTTGGAACAGAGAAGGTACCTTTAGTTTTGCGTTTTAAGGTAATTTTGCAATTAAAGCCACTTCGTTACGGGAACTTTTTAATGCTGTTAAAGCGGGCAGCTACAGGCCAGTGATTGTTGCAGAGGGTAGTTCAGACTTTTCTCGGTTGGTAAATAGTTGGATCTATTGATTATTATGATTATGAAATTTCTGTAGACTATTTGATTAACGATTTTTAAATCGACAAGTATTTTTCGCTGTATATTTGAATAAAATGTTGGCTATACTGGGTTAACTCAATTCACGGAAAAAAGTAGAATAAGGAGGGTGAATATGGATCTAAAGCATTCAATACAAAAGCTGACAAATTGCACGAAAGAAACAGCGACTTATTAAGACTTGAAACAGAAGAGAAAGGAAATTTCTTTCACACTGCTCTGTCGGTACCTACCTACTAGGTAAAGACATTGTTTTCCAATGTTCTTAGTAGGAACATTCAGAACGCACTTCTATTCACACCCTACTTCTAGATGGACGAGCGAAGCGAGTCCTTAATAGGCCACTTCTTGCGCTTCTGTAACGAGTACATCTCTTTCCACCTTTGACATTAAGAAATAATATTTCGCCCACGTGGATGTGCACAATCTATAAATAAGGAGAACCCTTTAACAAAAATTAACCCCTTGATTTCTCACTGGCACCTGTGCATTTTTCCCTTTGATATGTGTATTAATTGTCGGTAAAAAATTTCATTGCCAAATAAATTAATAATACTAGATATAAACAACAAATAACTCTAGTTCATCCCAAGTTCTCCAACCTGTCGCCTTCTAGCTACTCTATGTATATCCCAAAAGAACTATTTCCCTATACTTTTCTATCGTTTAGAAGGAAACGACGCAACATGTCACAACGACATCCACCACACCAATTGACACGTATACTCGTTTTCATGACACAAAAAATCAGTCAAATCATCGATTGAACTCGACAATCGCCTCATCAATCAAGCGTAAGATCGAAGGATCTTCGTCGCTACTGCCCTGCCCCCGTGGTCCCGGTCACTTTCTAACGCATTCCCCGCGCACTTGCCCGCACGCACACACACACACACACACACACACACAACCGCATCTTAACGCCCAGCCATACTCGTAACAATCCGCATTCTATCTCAATCGCTTGGTCGCGGCTGAAAATTTACGAGCCAGTCGAGCAGGTCCCCGCGTTTCCCTCCCCGCAGGGACGATTACCGATCCCGACGCGCTCTGCTTTTTTTTCTGCGACTTCGTTCCTTCTGACTGCGTTTTGCTGTTTGCCTGTGTCAAGGTCGCGTCCGGTTGCTACCAGATCGAGCTGCAACTGAGGGGGACAGACCAGCGGAAAACAGGAGGAACCACCAGAAGAAGATTCTGGACGCCTGTGTTTGTGCGTGCGTGTGTGTGTGTGTGTGTGTGGGGGGGGTGAGGTATCATGTATCGGCCGAACTTCTACGAAAGCACGTGTCTGAGGTGCGCCCAGACCGTCTACCAGGTGGACAGGGTCGGCCCGCTGAAGGACTTCACGTTCTTCCACGCGGGATGCTTCAAGTGCGCGATCTGCGGCACGAAACTCACCCTGAAGACGTACTACAACAACCAGCACACGATCAATGACAAGGAGGTGTATTGCAGCAGCCATGTGCCCAAACCGGGACCGGGCACCTTGGACGGGTCCAGCGTGGGCATCAGGAGCGCTTTGAACGTTCCCAGGAGCGGTTACGTCAACGAGCAGATCAGAGCCGGCGGTGCGTCACCGCGAGGAGTTTATCCACCTTGGTAAGGATATGTGTGTGTACTAGAGATATGCAAAAACCTAAAAATGTCGGGTCGGATCGAGACGAAAATTTTTTTCGAGGTCGGGACAAGTTCCCGAACATTTCGGAATTCTCGAAAGTGTTAGAACAGTATTGGGATCAACAAGATCCTTCCGTAAGATCGACGGGAGGAGGAGCTTGGAAAGCTAATAGACTGTGTTAATTCGCTCCAACGAGACACTGGTCGAGCCTCGACGAATTAATTATCGTCAAGATAATCGTTGTTTTTCGAACAATTAACGTCCAGGTTAGATTTCATTCGTTTTCACCAGTCCCCAAATTTATTTGTTCGCTTTATTGTCCTGGTTTCCGAGAAATCGAGCTCGGAACCGCTCGAAATTTTAATCGGCCTAGTGTTGTAAATGTCAAGATCGCGGGAAGCCAGAAGAGTTGTTTCAACGGGGAACCTGTTTATTTCTCTCCAAATATCATTCCACGGATCACTTGTAAAATCTCTCCGGTATTTTCGAAACAGGAAACGCGCTACAACTCCGACACGATGGGCTCATCCGTCCTTTCACCGTCGAACTCTTTCATTTCTTTTTGTTGTTTCTTTCACAGTCACGGTAAAAGAAGTAGACCAACAGAGGTATAGTACTGTTCCCCGGCTGTTTTCCTTGTTACGTCTATCGGAACGTAATATCAGCTTAACACAATGATCCTTTGATACTGTTATTTCTCGTCGTGATCGTGGTTCACGCTGGCGGGGAAAACAAAAATCTCCCTGCATTGAATGTAAGTCGTGCAGGATGCATCGAGCGTACATACGTGAGTAAAACGGGGGGTCTCTGATTAAATAACAGTAACCGTAACAAGGGAATTAGTTACCCGTAACGCTGCGACTGAAACGGGTCCAATTATTTGCATCGCCGTTCTTCTTCTGCCGGAAGCGCCTCTCTCGGGGGATGGAATCGAGGAAAAGTGTCGCGCACTTGTATCGCTTCTGTGGATCGAGGAAGGAGACACGTGATCTCTGCGTACGTTCGATTAACCGATTCGAAGCTGCTCGACGATTCCAAGGACACGCGTGGTACACTCTGTTCGGTGTATGCAACCGGGTATTCGCGTTCGAAAGGTTATGGGTTGAGTTACACCAGTGCGAACGTAACGACAGCTCGAGAAACGGATCGAGAACTTGATCCCGGAGAACCCTTTTTTGTCGCTAACATGTAATAGCGGGTGGTTTCTCGATTAACAATAGAATTACCAAACCCATAAAATGACAGATTTTAGATTTTTTTTATTTTACAATTACTGAAATCCTAGAGATAGTTTCATCGAAATTTATGGTAACCTCTAATTTCTTATACACTTCGTATTATAGTATACCAATATTTTCAGGGTCGTAATATGTGTTACAAATGCTAAGTTAATGATTCCAAGTGGAATCCTACGCTCGGAAAGGGTTTAAATTCTATTCTCATCGGTCACAGTGATTATTTACTCTTTTTATTTCTGTAATGTGAATCGTCGGAACACGCGGTGACGTTGAAACACAGACCACGGTGTATAACGATCGTGAGCAAAATTACCGTGAACAGGTTCGGTTTCACCACTTTCCCTTCTTCGGGTGTTTAAAGTCGAGACCAAAGTGGAGTACAAACGACGACGGGTACTTCTTTCACGCGAAACGATCCTGGTTAACGATTTTGTTAATTGCGTTATTGGAAGTTCGAGATGATCGTCTTTTATCGCGTACTTACTCGGTAGTCTCGTTTTCATCGTCGTGCTCCGTAATTTTCAGAGGCCTTCAATCTCTGTACAGTCGATAAATGTCTCGTTTATCGGAGGTAACAATTGTACGTTTTTTTGTTCGCGTATTATATTATTCTATTTAGAAAAATTCCGAAGATACAGGAATAATTTTCGAACAATTGAACAGTAAGGTTTACTTCGAGAAACCTTTAAATATGTTAATACAGTAAAAGTAGGCGATGAAAATTCATTTGAAATTAAACACCAGAACGATCTCTACGCATTCTTAAAGCTCCAGTTCACCTAAATATCTCTTATTCATAACGATTCATAGAGATACGTAGCTCGTCACTCGTGTGCCAATTTAATTCTCGTTAAAATAAATGAGAGCAAAACGAACGGTAAAAAAATTGCAGAATGTCCCCGGTGGTTTCACCTTGTACTTGATTTCGTTTCGGAAAAGGGTGCGCACGAGGAATCGTTTCAACGATAATTTAACACGTCCAATCACGTAACTCGGACACTTTTCTACGTGTGTCCCGCGCGTTGCACGCTGTATTTTAAAATGGTCTGGTGCCTTTGGGCCACCCTGTACGTGTGTACTGTACGTCGTATGTAGGTATATGTTCGTGTCAGTCCGCTCTTTACGAGCCCGGCTCGTTCGTCTTCGTTACATAACACATCGTCGCATTGGCCTTAATCCGTACGACGTCTCGAACAAAGTCGGAACCCGCGATTGTGCGCGGGAACCGCACTTGCTCTTCACCCGGAATGTCAATGGCTGACCCGATTCCGTTGGAGTAACGCGAGCCTCCAAGAGAGATTCGCAAACAGACCGCGTGGTTTCGTCGATCGCGCACGCGTCCTTCTTCGGACCGACGATGGGAATCGAGCACGGTCACTCGGCAAGACTCGAAATCCTTCCTGAGCACAATCATTATACATATACGGCATTTTTTCTTATGCCGCAGGCGTGATTCGTGCGATAATGTTCACTAGGAGCTTTGAATTGCTAGATTCACGCGGAAGATAAACTCACGGGCAACGAGAATTTCGGGACCGCTTCGGAGGACGATAAAATGGCGACAATAAACGAGTGGAATTCTTGCGGCGCGAGTTTATGTAATGTTCGTTCACACGCGTTCCACGAAACTTCTGTCATAGGTATCTTTTAATAACAGTTGTTTTCCGATTGATGTAACGAGTCTTCCGTTGGTTCGTTTTTAAATGTCGGAAACGTGCGATTACAGTGATACGTGGTTAATAATTAGGGCTTTCAGGTCTGTTCTCCTTCACCGTAGAATTAATCGAAATCGAATGGGTTCCGTTATTTTTTCGTTTGTCTCCGATCTAAACTTTCTCTCGAATCGAACGAGCTCTGCCTGTTATTAATCGAAGTTAACGACACTTTCCTACCTAATTGTTACATAATTCAATGTACCTACATTTACCTTATTATTATACAGTAATAAAGGAAACTATCAGGGCACTGAATTTGATATATTGGAAAGAAGAATCGGTTTGTTCCTGGGGTAAAAAGGATCTATAAATTCCATCTGGAATCCCTTGTTTCAAACCTTGAGGATACTCTCTATACGAAACGAGATTATTAATTGAACAATTAAGCGTTAGCAACAGAGGAAATTTCTTTTATTTTAGACTTCAAAACAAACTATCCAAGTCCACTTTATTACCAAGTTGACTGCCACAGTGGAAAAGGCCGTACGTAGTCGGACACGCTTTATTTCCTTTTTCAAGTCGTAAATCGTTGAAAATATATACGTACAGTTAATACAGGCTATTGGTCTTGTTTGGAAATGACACCACGATATTAACACTTTATAGACCGGTAGCCTATTAATTTTCAGTCCTTATACATAATAAGCCTATTGATTTACCCTTGGATCAAGAGTAAAGAAAAAATTGTTACGTTACTCTATTAGATTCCTTCCTATCTCTCATGACTGTAATTTCCTACTGCGATCGAACTGTTTAATAATAGTTCCCTATCTCTTGATCGTTTGATCCACGAAACCTATTACACAGCAACCGGTAGATAATGTGTTAATTTTAGGCAAAAATTTTCCAACGGCATTCAAATAACCCATCCTCTTCGCAATGTATCTGTCATATTTCGGTGACCTGGCAGTCAAAGTGTTTTTACTGTTTGCATTCGGAACTTCTAATTTTCCATAAATTTTGTTCCTTCAGAGGGGCCAGTCGAGTGCAAAAGGTTAAAAAACAATACAATCTATAGTTAATTTGAAACAGAAAAGTATTTATGCATCCGTTTCCAGCTTCGCAGTGTCTCGCACACTTCGCCCGATCATTTTGCAGGGTCAATTAAAATTCTCTATCCGATTCCCTCGCTAAGTAGGATACGCCGGAGAGTCCAGTGTTCCCGTGCGCCTCCAGCGTATATTGTCGGAGCCCAGGCGCACCGACAACACGACAGCCCGGAATCGTTTTCTCCGTCAGGCAGCCACGCAAAAGGCGTGCGCGTGCACACGGATTACGCGTGCACCGGAGGAATTTCTTGCAGCCGGGTTTCGCGAGCTCTGCCTCCGGGCTGACATAAGGAGCGCGGCAGCCAAGAACGAAAAGAGAGGGGAACCAGCGACGGTGTGTGCGCGCGGTGAGGCTTCGTCGCAAGTGAATGAACCCCGGGAAAGAACGAGCGAGAGGTGTAACACATTCATTTAACCGAGACGCCGAGAATTCTCATAAGCGATGCGCGGCCGCTCCTGCCACGGGACGCCGTACACTGGGACCAATCGTGTAAAAACTGCGACATGGACGAAAATTTCAAATTCGAATTTTGACCTTTTCTTTTTTAACTATTTTAACATAATCGTTGGACATGAAGCAATACGGAATTGCAAAGAAAAATATTATTTTTAGTTGCTTGAAACCTGATTTTTCAACGATTTGTGCGTACATTTTTCGAGGCATTTATTCTTTGAATTAAAATATCTAATGGTCTTCTACAAAGTATACCCGATTTAGGGGGATTAAAGGATCCGTTAACACCGAAATTTAACGGGTGTTAAATGTACTGTGCGCTCGTTAAGTCTATCCGTAAATTAAATCTAATACGTCTTGCATCTAACCACTCGTAAATCCCCCTCCCCAGTCCCCTTTCCCTTCCGTTCCGCGGAAGAGGTAACAATTCTCTTGCGAGATGATCCCTGGGCCCCTGAACGACCCGTTGCATAATTTTGTTCCAGTTACGATAATGTAGACTCGCCTAATTATGCCAGGCACCTGAACGGACATGGTTCACCGCCGGCGACGAATTCCGGTCAACGTGATTTCCATGGGAATGCCGGCGGAGGCGCGTCCTCGCCGTACAACAACCACCATTACGCCGTGGACGGGAGCTACCAGTACGGGAGATTCGACGCGAGCGCGCTTCACATCGCCCATGCCCTTAAGCAGACGGAACTTCAGAAGGGCTACAGCAAGGCACGGGAGAAGCCCATCGATTATTATCTGGTGAGTCATTGGCATAGGTCCGGTGAAATCATTCGTCACGGTCGTCCATATTAGGAGTCGTTGGCGAGGGGAGGGGCGGGAAGGGAAGGGGTTACACCTATTCCATAGCCGCCGCAGCATCGGACGATCCCGGTAATTACACGGATTCGAGTTAATTACGGCCGTTCGCGCGGTCTGGCCGATCGTTTTATTGAAATATCGTCCCAGCGACTCATTGAGGAGCAACCGCTGTTTGCGGGGACATTCCGATGGAATTTTGTTCGTGTACATACTCTGGGACGAGACCGTGTACACTCACGAGCAAACTCGGCTTCCAGTAGAAGGAGAAAACGGCGTAGAATACGCGCATACTCGATTCGCCAAGTGATTTTTCTCCAAAACGTAGCCTCGTATGAGGAAAATTTCTTCTTCTTTTTCGACTTATTTTTTTTTTATAGAATCACCTTTTGCCCGGTAGTACTACCTCGTATAAAGGTGTGACGATCGAGGGTAGTCCTGCGAAGAATATAAGAAACGAAGACAAACGGTTCCTAGTCGAAGTAGATTTATGTATCCTGCAGAACTTGCGGCACAAATTGATACGCAAGTGCTGTGACCGTATCGAAACGTTCGAAAGAAATCGCCAAAGTGGAAAACGCCTCTGAAAGTGACGTCCTCATAAATTGAAAGCAGACAAACATTACGTATATTATTGTATTAGGTGTACAACTTATTTCCTGGCTCTTTTTTCATAGATTTATTGTTTATTTACAAAAAAAAAAACAAAATACAGTCCAGTCTTGAGAAAATATTCCCCACGACTTTGTACACATTTACGCCATTCTTGGGCCAGTTTGACGAATCGCCTCTCGGAAAAATCGTGACGTTATTGAGTAAAAAATTACCTGTAAGGATCACGAATTCATTTGTACACCTAACAATGCTAATAATCCTTTTGCATAATTCCCAAAAAAACCTAATGAATCCAGCCTCCAAAGATCTCCCTGATACAAGCATCTCGCAACGAGTTCCTCCGAGTCGCAGAATGGAAAATCCGGTATTTCGAACGTGGTCAGCGACGCGTGGAAATCGCGCTCGTGGCGGTCGCCCCGATTAACTGGACGTAGAAACACGCGTCGGACGTGGTCCCTCGGTTTTAATGGGAAAATCCGTCCGGTTGCCGAATTTCCGAACGTCGGAATGCGGAACGGAGAACGGCATTCCGCGTGTCGGTCCCCCACCCACCGTCCCATCGAGATAGACTTTCTGTGCGCGGAATCGCGTTGACAAACGGAGGAATGTGTACCGGGGCGGGTTCAGGACGGACTCTACATGAAAATGAGATTGCCGCTTTTCCCATCGGGCCCGACCTAAGAAGAAGGCCGAGCCGCTAGTCGCTCCACTATCTGCAAAGGGGGAGGGGGAACGGACCCCGTCGCGTTTTCTCTCAATCCGCTTTCGCGTGCACCATCCAGCAAATACGCCAGACGTTGGTCTGTTATTTATAGTATTTCGTGAATGTCAGACCACCGTCCCCGTGTATGGTCTTACGAAACGAAAGTAGCGTGTGGGCATCGAGAGCAGGGTCGACCCGCATTTCCTTCTACGTTCCATTGAAGAAAAAAAGAAAGAAAAAACAGAAGAAAGATGCATGGAAAATCCGTCTATCTCGCGATAGACCACACGCGATTTATCGGTGATCGGTGTGCTCGTGGTTCCATTTTACGAGTTTCTTCTCAATTGAATCGAAACACCGTGTTCAGATGTGTTTTCCTTTTATCGATCGGACTGTATGTATATGCTCTGATAGCTCTCGACGAACGGATTCTTCGTTTTTGGCCACCGGTCTATCCTACATTTCCCGTGGACCGAGTTTCTTGGTACGCGGGCTCTTTCTAGGGAACTGTAACGCTTACGTGGACCCTGTTCCCGGGGTAATGATAAGTTTCAGCATTGAATATTTTCAATCTTCGATATCCAGTTATCCCATTATATCGATTAAATAATAGACCAGGAAATAAGGTCCTCTGTGTGTCCTCGGGCCGATTACTATCAAAGCCCTCTGTGAACTCGAACTTTCTAGACACCAGAATTGCAGTGTGTGTACAGCCTCCACGATTTTCTTATGGCGACGATAACCGTTTTCTGCGTTCGACAGGACCGTTAGCTCGATTGTAAACCGAATATACTTTCTACACGATCGCGAGGATGACGGCAGCCTCCGAAGATCGGATGGTCGACCCTGCCCACGCGTTTTCCCAATTATCCGCCCGGTTGTAAAAGGAATCGATCTCTCTTTCTTGTGGTTCATCGATTTCTTCGATTCCTGGAATTCCACGATCTTCGCGCGCCTACGTTTCTCGCCTAGGGAGTCGTTCGAGCGAACACAAAATAATCGTTAGGGGCCCCGGAGGCGGCGTTTCGCGATCGCAAGAAGAAATTCTGGCCTCGTCGTTGGACCGTGGAACGATCGTAAAAATCGTGAAAGAAGTCCACGGCGTTTCCCCTGATCATCCGTTTTCGCGTTCCTCTCTGTCCAGGCTCTATCACGACTTTCTTACGTGTCCCGTTTCCGGGGCATCCGCGGCCGAACAATGCGGCGAACGTCCTCCTGGAGCATTATTCAAACTGTTACCACGGAAGAACGCGTTTCGCCTGTTTTCTTTCTTCTTGGTACGCGGGAGCACGCGAAGGAAAGCTTGCGCGCGGAGAGCCCCAGAATCGCTTCCGCTTGCGGTATTCCGCTGCACTTGATAGTTAATTAGAGAATCGTCGAGAGACAGGGGGAAAAGAGTCGCGATAAAGGTAGATGAGGAGGGACGAGGATAGAGGGATACCCATCGTCGTATCCTGTTAAAGAGCAATTGTAGCTCACCTCTCACGCGCACCTTGGCGAACAAACGATCCGCGGATGCTAATCTGTGGATGCTAACCCGTGTGCCCGCGTAACGCGTAGATCGTGAACGGGGCCTGTATCGGTTTTATTGTTACTTTCTTTTCCTTCCGTTTTTGGTATCGTTAATGTAGTTCGTTCTTTGACTAGAAGGGGCAAACGTGGCATTGTTTGAGAGTTCTTTCACCGTGTTTAGGGTTTAGTACTCGATTAACATCGTTGCATCTGTTTGGTATTTTGTAAAAAATTTTTGTTCGTGAAATTAAGGATCATTTTAAGAGTATTTGAAATATTTAGATGAAACTATTTCTGAAAAAACAATGTGTTTGCAGGGTAGATAGCGAACAGTAGTAGTAACACAGTAACACCGTCTTTCTAACGTTTGAATGTTATTTGACACGTTGTCACAATAACTATAAAACCACCCTTTCAATTCTTATGCATTATGGTTAAAATAATAAGGAACCATTTTTTTTTTCTAGGGAATATAATCTATCCTTTCCTGGAGAAACATTTCTCAACACGATTTCAGATATGACATACTTTAAAAGAAAATTTTAGGGTGGTTTTATAGTCATGCCACGCAGTGTAGGAGGATCGAGTGTATCAAATATTGGTAATAGATATAACGATAAATAAAGAGTTTAAAAATGATCAAGAATCAGAGTATAGATATAGAGAATATCAATCGGAGTATTGTTGATCAGTTTAACAAGGTATATACTTCGTTCAGTACGAAAACGGAGCGTCTTACCGCAAATAAAAATAGGTTTCCATAGCGAGGACTTTTACCGCGATTACCGTCGACACGCACGAAATGCAACGAACGCGATAACTTTCAGTAATATTGACATCACGATCGTTTACCGCGAACGCTATGGGAATTAAACGTTGTCTCGGTCGGAGGAAAACGCAAACGAAAGTCAGGAGTCGAGTGTTCTGGTCAACTAGTTGGACAACGGAAGATCAAAGAAAATTGCTTCTTCAATGACACGGGGAAACAGATTGACCGAATTAATCCTATTAGCGCGCTTTCTCATCGTCTCGAAAGTACACACAGAGTCTCTTTATTGCCACGTCCGTTGTACGGAGCGGTGAGATTCGTAGAATAAACAAACGGTCGTAAATTCGATAATTGAAAATGTAAACGATGGTAATAACAATCTCTTGGTCGCAAAGCGGCGAGAAACTTCGACTGTAAGGAAGTGTTTTTAATTGCATCCGTCGTGACGCCGAACATTTTTTATCACATTACTGCATAAAAACAGGTTTTATTTATCTGTAAAAATACCATTTAGAAAGTACAGAATATTTATCTAATAAATATACAGCACTTTAAATTTTAAATAGAAATTTTAACGTAATAATTGTGAGAACAGTCGTTTTCTATTGGAAATAGAAGTCAGCCGTTGCATTTTGCTCCGTGTTCTTGGCTACAGACGTACGTGCAGAAATGTCAATGCTCTCCAACATTGTCCCTATTTGCGGTTATTTCACGCAATAACGTGCGACGCCATGATGTAACTGTAGCGTGGGCCTCCTCTGTCTGTAGATACACGCGATCGAGCTCGCAGGAAATCGCTTTCGCAACGAAACGTCAAATCCAAATGTACCTTTTGACGACACTGTATAGCGTCAACCGTCTTCCCTTACTCTTTTCCCCCTATCTACGGCGGTCGCGATGATCACAGAACGAATTAGTACAATGATACGGTATAACTCGGTTTTTTCCTTGTTGTCGCGATTGCTTCAATTTGTCGCAGACGGTCGTAGAACGAGTCGTTCAAGGGGGGAGAGGGGGATCGAAAGAAAGCAGAAACACGGCGTGAAAGGAAACCTGATAAAAACTGGACGGGAACCGTCTCACGACGTTTAGGCGCGGTTTCAAGCTTTTTGATAGATCGAAGAAGACGTCTCGGTTTAATCGGTTGTCTTGTACTCGGTGAAACTCGTTTGGCTTTTCATGGTTTACAAATGCAATCGGTCGAATTGTAAATTCGTAAGAGAAAAGGTGATTTTTACATCTCGAGATCAGTCGATACCACGGAATAAATGTTCGTCTTGAAAATAACGATACCTACATACGAGCAAATTCAGAGACCAAACTGATTCTAGTGTCACACCACTTGGTTGGCATTTAACTTTTTAAATTTAAAATAAATTTCTACTTATCGATTTGTGGGGTTAATTACTTCCTAAAGTTTGGATGTTCCATGGTGTACTGTATTTTTATAACCTGTCATTTTTGTTACGATTTACAGGATCGAGATGAACAGACGCGTCTCGAGATGAAGCATCGCAAGGAGGAAGACGATCTCTATCGAAAGTTTGCGCACCATCGCGAGGAGGAGGACAGAAGGATCCGAGAGGAGTTCAGAGTACGTACACCATGTCAATTAGCCCCCGGTGATCCGCTGTCGTTAGCCGTCGCGCTCTCGCTTATTAATTAAAACAACCGACGTTCTATCGAGAGCGTGCAAAATTCAACAACACGGGTGGTATTTCCCTTGGTCTCCGCAGGACGAGTGGGAGAAAGAGCTGGAGCAGCTGTCGGCGAGATGGGAACGCGAAAAAGGCGGAAGAGTTCGAACCCAAGCTGGAACACGAACGGTACTCATTACCTAATTAAACTTGATTCCATACCCGTAGGCTGGTTGGATTGCGCTCGTTGCTCGGTCGAGTGAAACCTTTACAAAGTTGCGAGTCGACTGACGACACAAAGAATCTAAGACTAACTTTCAAAAATTTGTCTCGTCGTAAGGTATTAAATTCCTTTTTACCCAATCGAAATTAGATTGTCAGTTGCCTTAGGTTAATGATGATAACACAGAACGAAAAGTATAAAGACCCAGTTGCTGTACTAATTTTACACATTACGCAACCGCTCCGGTGTAACACATGAATCCAGCAAATGGTTCTATCCAAACAGAGAAGGATTACACAGTCGACAAACTCACGCGGTCGCGGTAATTAAAATCCACCGCGAGATTGTTACAAATTAAACCACCATAGTCCGCCCTCGAAACCCGAATTAGGGGGATGGTCCTTTTAGTTAGGTCCCATGGACGAATTCCACCGCGATTCCCCGTGATTACGTATTCCTCGTCGATCCTACCGGAGTAGGTTGATGGGGAGCCTTCGTGGTGGTTATTTATTCAACGACGAAGCGGGAAACTTCGCCGCTTTATAGCTGAATTTCGTAACGACCGTGTGCCTGCCTGTCTGCCTTTCCTCCGGCCGCGGTTCACGCGCGAGCCGCTCGTAACTTCTGATTAATTTCCAGGGCGGCAACCGCGGCGCTCGTGGAGAAACAGAGCTCCGAGATGTTGGAGCTGATCAATGAGGCGAGAAGCGAGTATATGCGTCAGGAGAGCCTGTACCTAGACGAGGGGGACGGTTATGCCCAGGAAGCGCCGCCTATGCCTTATCCATCCCGCGCACCGCCCCCGCAACCCCCGGCCCTCGCCAAGTATCACATCTACAATGATCCTTTGGAGTTTGCTGACATGGATCAGATAGCTATTTCGGTAAGCCCCCGACGTACGATCCCTTTTAACGGCGGATCTTCCTGTAAATGTAATATCGCGCATAGAAGCCAGGGCCGCCCCCACCGGTTACAGTGTCGGAATTTTAAGGTGCTGCGCGAGCTCGAATCGTGCTCGATATTTTCATATATTCGCAATACCGCTGTCTTATCACCGGCCCCTACCACCGTTACGGTAGGACGTGTCCGATAATCGATTTACGATTCTTCCTTTCGGGGCTACATCCGCGGACTTAGGAGGATCCAAAGTGTATGCTTCTGAAATAATTGTGATTGAGGCTGGGGAAAAAGTTCGGTCAATTATTTAGCAAAAAGAGGATATCACTTAAAGGAAGGATTCTTTTTTGAACTCAAGGTTTTTAGGGGACCTCAATAGAAGTTGGGAATTCTTCGTTTTTTGGGGGGCTTTACAAATTTTTTTCAATGCGGTTTACATTATAATAATTAGGATATTTCATTAATGGGAAATAAGTATGACGCTTAAAAAAAGTCTCTTCTATTGAAGACATAATAGAGGAAAAGAATCTGTTATTATTGTTTGTCTAAAGAATTTCGTTCGCTCCTGTTACAAACATACGGGATTGAAAAGAATATCAAGCGTTTCATGCTAATCTTCCAACCGTATCGAACGATTTATCGTGTAAACATTTCAAAGATCCATTGAAGAACGCAATGTAGATTGGGCACAGGGATTGACTTACCCCGATCCTCACACCCCTTTCTTACTCTCTGTCTCTCCCTACGTAATAAATCAGGTGGCCCAAGAAGATCAGAAAACGTTCACGGATCTGGTGCGGCAGTTGGTGAGCAGATGTGGATCGGATATAGAAAAGGCGAGGACGATATTTCGATGGATCACCGTGAAGAATCTGAACACTATGCAGTTCGATGAAAATCTACGCGGAGACACGCCTATGGGCTTGCTGAGAGGGATCAAACACGGGACCGAAAGCTACCACGTTCTGTTCAAACGATTGTGCAGGTACTGCCCACCTTTGATCAATGGAATCCTAAACCATAAAAAATGCATTCGTCTAACAGAGGCTAACCGCTGCTTATGATATTTATTCTACGTTCACAGTTACGCGGGTTTGCATTGCGTCGTGATAAAGGGTTACAGCAAGTCGGCCGGTTATCAGCCGGGGGTGTGTTTCGAGGACAACCGATTCCGTAACAGCTGGAACGCGGTCTACGTAGCCGGCGCGTGGAGATTCGTTCAGTGCAATTGGGGAGCACGACATCTCGTCAATGCCAAAGAAGTTCCTCGACCTGGACAAGCAAAAGCAAAGAACGATAGCCTTCGGTAACAATTACTTTTATGGACTTGTTGATTTTAGAAAATTCATATGACATTCAGAACTTTCATTCATCGATCTGTTTGTCGTTAACAATAATTTCTTGAAGCAAAACTAAAATATCAGATTTTAACGATGACAAAAAGGATAGTCACACGATAGATACATGTATCAAAGAAATTGTTCTTTCTATTTTAGATACGAGTACGACGACCATTATTTCTTGACGGACCCACGGGAATTCATCTACGAGTTCTTTCCCCTCCAAGAGGACTGGCAACTGCTCAAGCAGCCGATTTCACTCAAAGATTTCGAAGAGCTGCCTTTCGTGCGATCGTTATTCTTCAGGTAAGGCGTGTCGCTAACATCACCGAGGAAAAGAATACCGCTGTGTGAAATTATCGTGTAACCATTTTGCTCAGTCCCAAATATTTGTCCGTGTCTGTTTATCCAGCGGAATGAAAAAGAAAAATCAGACGATTTATGTAAATTCGACAGGTACGGCCTTTACTTCCCCGATACGAACACCAACGCCGTTATGTACACGGATTCTACGGGTGCCGCGACCGTCAGGATAGCAATGCCGGCGCATATGCAGTCTTCTCTCATTTTTCACTATAACTTGAAGTTTTACGACAACGATGGGGACGGATACGACGGCGTGTCGCTGAAACGTTTCGTCATGCAGGTAATACATAATTTCGTACCGCGATCGAACATGTTAGTCGTATCAAAATTCTACCAATAATCGTACCGTTTCTTCGGTTATTTACCTACACACCGCTTCCACCAGCTGTAATAATTTTTTTTTTTTATTAATGCCTACTTATATTTGTAAAGTTACATGTGCAGATAGCATAGATTACTAAGTGTACATCGTTATAAGAGATCATCAATCGCTGTAATAATTTAAGAAATCTTAGAGTTCTAAACCGCCTGAGGGAGCACAAAGTTCCTCATCGCCAGTCGACGAGTGTTCCTGTTAATTAATTGCTCGGAAGTGACGTTAATTAGCCAGCGAGGAATTTACAAAGACTTCGTTTATAGATGTGTTCAAGCGTCAACGGTTACTGTTTGCGATAATAATCATGTCCTCCAATATTGGTCTTGGACGTGATGTTAACGGTCTGTTGATTTAGTCGAAGCCATTGGTCAAAATATCGGAGCTGCCACAGAATTATTTCGTACACGTGTATTTACGTCGTTTCCAGAAAATACCGTGGACACTATTGAATTACTCGAAAACTTTTTATTCGTAGTCTGTCGTGGGCAACGTGGTCGCATTTCGTGTCCACGCGCCGTGCTCGGGAGCGTTCCTCCTGGACATCTTCGCGAACGCGGTGACGCCGAAAGAATACCTCACCGGCGAGCCCATGAAGTTCAAGAGCGTCTGTAAATTTAAAATCGCCTGCGAAGAGCTTCAGACGGTGATGGTGCCTCTGCCAGATTGCGCGAGCGGTGAATGGGGTCCGACAAAGGCGACGAGACTCTTTGGACTTATACCAATTACTCATCAGGTAGGTCGATGTGTCTCACGAGGTATAAAACAATAGCAAAACACTAACATATTAATGTTCCCTCGTGAATCACATAGTTACGCTTAAAACTTTAAAATTTCGAAGTGTTCTACTTTTCTGTTTGCCAATCGTAATGCATGTTTCTAATCGACGATCGCAGGAAGCTCTGGTGTTCGCCGGCCGCGAGCTAGAGATCCAATTCCGGATGTCGAGATCGTTGACCGACTTCATGGCTACGCTGCACAAGAACGGTATCGAGGAGAAACGTCTCTCCAAATACGTCACGCACTCGATCGCCGACGACGACGTGGTCACTTTCACGATTAGCTTCCCCGAGGAAGGCCAATACGGTCTGGACATTTACACCAGGGAATCGACCAGCCCGACGAGCGTTCCGCACGACGTCACAGGCGAGAAACACCTGCTCACGCACTGCTGCAAGTATCTGATCAACTCCAGCAAACGGAATTAAGGATACCATGTTTTATTCCGTTTGCGCGTGAAACTGTTCTCGCTGGTACCGATTTTTGTTTACGAAGTTCATCGGAGAAACGTGCATCGTGGAAGATCGTAAAAGGTGCTGCAATCCCCACTTTGATCGTGGTGTTCACCACCCCTTCCCCCCACTCGAGGAATCCACAGTGACGCGAAAAAGCTAATCCGAAAAGATTAACCTCTACTTGCCAGTAAATTAGCTGTTAGCTAAGGACACACGAAGGTACCGACGGTTCTTTGAGGTATTCTTCGCGACGCTGCGTATTGGGCCGCTGCAGTTCACCGAACATTCGAAATGTATCTCCTAAGTGCGTTTTGAAAGTCATTCGCTTTTTGGCGAAGTGTTCGTCGAGAAAGTATTTCTATAGTTATTTAAAATGGGCCATGGTCCATCGACAACCTCGACGGACCATTGAATTCCGATACAGCTTCATTTCATAGATCACAACGAGCACTAATGATTTTACCGAGTAGAACATTGTTGTAAATATTTAAATAAGGTCAATAACCTCCTGCAGCAGCCCAAGCAATGCCAAGCTGACGCGCTACCTCCACGTTCTTTGTAGTTTAGTATACGTTAAGCTTCTTAATTGTTCGAGGATAATTATCGAGGAAAACTATCTGTAATTGTACACCGTCGCTTCGCAGGAAAGCATAACGAGAGCTACCGCGATCGCGGCCGTGCCTACTTGTGTAAGCTATATTTAATAGGAGGCCTTTTATTTAACTCGCTGATTATGTTTTTCACTCCCACGCACGTATTGTCGCGGCGTGTTTTCCACGAGAAAGTTGGCAATTATCGTTAACTAGCTTTAGAGATCGTGCGGTGTGTGTGCTCACCGACCGAATTAATCAAACTTTCTCGCCCCGGTTACCGGGTCCGAGGCATTAATCCCAATTATCCCCGGGGGCCCGTTTTAATTCAATATCCCGGGGAATCGCGTTTCCCGCCATTCGTTTCACGCGTTTTCCGAGTGTGGGCACCGCGCGATTCCGGGTGGAGTCACAGTTAATAATTTTAATTGCGCGAAGGTGCTTTGTGTATATAAAATTATGCACAGAATCGTTTCAGTTTTTCGCCGATACGTGACGTCCTGCAGCTGGTAAAATGCGCAAACATTCCGCCACCGAGGACGCTACGTGCTTCTCTCTCTTTAAGTCTTCTATGTTCTTTGTACGTTAACAATGTTACATTAAGCATTCCTATTCCATTTTTTCTTTCTTTTTTCTTTTTTTTTTTTCTCATTACGAACGACCGTCACCGCGAAATTCTGGTGAACTTTCGGAAGTCGTTGATGCGATGTAATGGCGGACATGGTGACTCGTCGTCGCGTTGCGGAGGTTACACGGGGAGACGCTCGAGGGATTATTTATATTCATTAAGGTTTAGAGAGCTTTTGGAATCGTGTGAAATTTTGCGGTTACGGTGGTTTTCGAAGTTCAGGTGCTATATGTTATTCTGTCAGGACTAGTTGCACAATTCTAGTTACGTTTGGACGCGTGAAGCGTGGACGTGTTGAACACTTTCAGGCGCGAGAAGTCGACGATTTGTAATTTTGTAACAAAATTATGAAAATTGCGAAAAAAAAGAGGAGAAAGTGTTGGTGATCGTATACTTTGAGGGGGAACAGAGAAACATGAATGTGACGTTTCCGTAGAATGAAATAATTCGGCAGTCCTACGCTTTCTACGATGTAACGCTCAGACCGAACAAAAATTGTTTTTTAGTAATAAAAACTACATATATATATTTGTTAATTCCTGTAATATTAATAATTTCCTTCCCCTGTTACTCGGATAAATGAAAAGCTCTTCCTTAAGTATCTGCATTCCTGTTTCCGTAGAACACAACATAAGTGGATCTTAATATCCTTTCTCATCGTTTCTCTCTAACGAGCGTGTAAATTACTTTCTACAAAAACCACGAAAGCGGCAATAAGTTCTCGTATTTTCGTAAAAGGAGACGAACGGATTTAATAAAATTCAATTTTATGGAAGCCAATCTCATTTGAAATTACTAGACATAATTTTATACTTTAGGAGCGTCTATTGTAATTTGTAATTCAGAAATATATAGAGGGAACAAAACAGGCATTTTGGACTGTTCTGAGAAAATAAAAAAAGAAGTTTATTCATTTGAATGGATAGTTCACGCGTATGAATACAGTAGGTATCTTTTATACTGGCAACATCACTCTTGTCTTTCCCGCCAAAACATTTTGCTCAAACGCTTCCAGGTGGCAGCACCACACCAGTTCGTTTCCCTCTAAAACGGTTGACGCACGCGGCGGTTAATTAACTTGAACAAATTAAAAGTTAATATCGATCGAATTATTGTAAATTATTGTTGTAAATTGTGTTAAATTGAAAGCAAAGTGAACAGATTCAGTGGGCAATTGAAGTCACCTGTCACCTATCGATACTGGTCGAGAATTTGTATTTGAAGTTGGGACCAACCTCCGTGAACGACAACGGACAGGGTAAGTAGTTTATTAACATTATTAATTATGATATATCAAGTTCTGGATCATTTATTACAGACTAGTTTTTATTTCTATAACAATAATATCATTATTCTTCGATGTTTCTGGTACTTCCTTGTCTTTCGTGTCTATTATTTCCAATTATTTCATCAGCGAGGAACAGTTAACCTTAGAAAACCGTTATACACTATTTTTCAAAGCTATGACTGTAGCAAAAAGAGAATGGTTTTTCTTCGTGCTTCGTGTAATTCGTTTCTCTGAGTAATGATCATCATCGAAATACGTAAGAAATATTATAATTAGTGGTTATACGAGTCTGGTTGTTAATCTCATGGTATTATGGGATTCTGTTCAAATAAGAGAATTTTACCGGAAGTGCTCGAACGTTTCGTCTTGTAAATTGAGACAGGCTATCAAGAAGTATTCCACATGAATACACATAACATTTTCTTTTGGATGTAATGCGTCTTATTTTGTCCAGTATCGACATGAATTTGTGTATCTTGCATGTAGTATGCATGCATGCACACGTTCATTTTCTAATTTCACGCAGCCCACGGCCGCAGAAACTACTTAAAATGCACTCGTAACCGGAATCCGGCTCGCAGCCGACCGCATTACGCTGTTTTCTCATAATTGTGAAAAGTTTCGTGGTCGTACGTTTATTAAACGTCGTTTCCGGGTTGCCGCGCATTTGTACAGTGTCCGGCAGGAATCTTTTGTTGGAGGGGGTAATTTAGGCTACCCTTGGTCGGAAAGTAATTGGGGTCGTTGGTTCTGTGAGATTGCATCCTCAACTTATTTTAGATTATAAATTTATTTTTCGATATTGAAAACATTTATCTTGTTATAAAATAATCCAGCAAGAGTTACTACAACTGTATACTATACACTGACGTTCAGAGGTTTGTAGCAGCTTAGATAGATCATTAACGATCATTTATTAAATGAACATGAAATTTCGAATGGCAAAATAGTGGAAACGAAGCTTGTTTCTATTCGATAAAATAAAATTCTGTTCGTCACCGCTTACGGATCATTTTAAACAAGAATTAGATAGATACTGTAAATATTCACTGTATGATGCTGTATATCAGAGAAAAAGTCCGAACGTTTTTTACAGACCAAACTTTCGAGTGACAGCTTGGAACCCTCACAGAGAGAGAGAGGACGGTTTTAAAAAATCAATTTCAACATTTACGAGCAATTAATCGAGCCGGAAGCGACGCGACGGGTTATCGATTCGTTCGATGTCCCTGATATTAGGACGGCTTTTGAAAGTTAAACGACCGTGCGACATAAACCATACATTGTGTAGGGACGTATATAACCTTGCTCTTTCCGTCTTCGGTGTGTGCAGCGAAATTATACTTTATAAAACAGCGCCCTCGACACCAAAAACCGACTGGCCCCGTGCACCGTATAGAATTCCACCCCCTCTTTATGGATTTACGATACATATTTATCAGCAGCTTCAGTGCAACCGTCCGATCGTTTATTCGTTGGACCGTGGAACGAGCGGCACGATTGCACAGCACCTGATCGATACACCCAAGAAAATCCACCCCTCCGCGCGAATTAATTTAATAAACGAGCGGACAAGTTTTCGATTCTGTACGCGCGGTTCTTTCGATCGTTTTTTACTGTACAAGGTGGTTCATCACCGTAATTCGCGAATTTATCAGTTTTATTGTCGTGAATATTTCCTTCATCCATATTGCACTGTTGTCTGTAGCAATCTGTAAGTTACTACTTTTTCCCGAAATTCAATACGTATTCGCCTGAGAGGCAAGAAAACATGATTCCTTGGCAATATTCCAGTATATTTAACCTACCATAAATTGCAATTTATTAGTAATTATTTAGGATATCAGGACTTTAGTAATGACTCAATGGATCTGATCCAATGGTCAGAGTTTCTTCTCTTGGAAAGAGCACTTGAAATTATTCAATATTATTTCTAACGAGATTTAGATATTAAGAAAATCAATTCTGTTTTAAATAATAGTTTTAATAATAACTTTTTTAAAAAACCACCCTGTATCGCCATTACCCGGCCACCTGCCATCGAGAATTAATTATAGAACCGGTCTCGCGTATTATTCGTCCGAAGAAATCCGCGCCACTATTTCCCCCGTTCGCGAAGTAAATCGCTGAGGGTGGGAGAGAAACAGGGGGAAGAGCTCGTCGCCGTCTTTCGGAGTCGCTAATTAAATAGCCACCAATTCCGGCCGTCCCTTTTGCGGCAACTTCCGGGATTGGACGGGATGGGAGAAGAAAGTTTTCTTATTTCGACCAGGACGGAAAGAATGATTTCCGTAATTCCGTGAGCGCGAGCGCCACTTTGTGATTTATAGGACGCTAAGTGGTCCATTGTAATTGTAGATCAGGGTATTGACTATTGTCCTTACATTATTCTAAACCCTATTGATGGTAGCAGGAGAACTTTGGAGTAGAAAACGGTATCGTTGTCACGAAACACTGAGACAGTAACGATTTTGATGGATAATTACGACTGAA